TATAGTGTATGGCCCACCGGACTGGCACAAGGGATGGGAGGACTGCGGCCATGACCACCAATCCCCAATTAACATCGACACAAGTAAAGTGGTAAACAAGGACTATCGTGATCTGAAAATAACCTTCGACAACCAGGGGGGCCTGGTCACGGGAGAGCTCGAAAACACTGGTCACTCGCCTACTTTAAATATTGACAAGTCCAAAGGAACAGCTGAAATAACAGGGGGTCCCCTGGGGGACACCACCTACACACTGAATCAGTTCCATGTTCACTTTGGCTGTGAAAACAGCCGTGGATCTGAGCACACTTTAAACGGGAAGCAGTTCGCTGGCCAGGTAACGACACAAATTGAGCCATTTGCTTTTTTGTTTTTTTTGATAAATGACTACCAGGTTCTATGTATTGTCTTCCGCATTGATAGATGATTTTTATACCTTACCATACCAAATTCTCCCTGTCTACTGTCCTGATATCCTGTGATATCACGTCACTGACCTGATATGGCTACGATATCATGCTAACTTGGCCGAATTTAGGTACGGTAACCTTTTTGTTACGCTTGGGCGCCATATTAGACTTGTTTTTGTCTCGCCAGCCATGGATATTTTGGCTATTCTACGTCTCACAAAATACGAACCATGGCCCGACCAAACACCCCTGATATGCCGCCGAAGCATACCAAAAAGGTATGATCAGGTATAAATACGGTGCATCACTTTTGTTCATCATCAGTTCTCTTCAGAATTATTCTGAAGTAACGCCCATACAGTTCTATCTGAAGTAACTTCCTGTTAGTGTTCTATCAAATTTCTGCTAATGACCTGCAGTGCCTTCTCTTTTCCTATTTATATTAGCTGTCAAAGTCGTATACAAGATAAACTTTTGTTCTCTAAATTTATGAAACGTGTTTCTCTTTAAAACCGGGTTGACGTAGAATAGCTTTGTCTATTTACTTCTCTTTTCCTCCAAGCTCCATATGGTATTTGAAAATTCAGGACAATATGCAGTCGTAGCCCTCTGGCTTAAGGTACATATTGCTATTATGCTTAACGTTACTATCTTATTCTATCCATCTGTTATCCGTACTTAGGGTAAACAAATTTGCAATACAATCAGCCAGTCAGAAGCCTAGTCTACTGTCCTAACATCCTATGATTTTAGGTCACTGACCTGATATGGCTATGATTTCATGGTCACTTTCAAGTACAGAAATTTTTACTTCAGTTAAATTGAAAAGAGGATTTTAAAATAGAATATCAAGATTGTTATTCAATGTTGAACAATTGTTTTCGGTGCGCAAAAATTGTCAAAACTTTCCCGCCAAACTAAACTTGATCGCGCGCATAACTGGAGAAAAAGCACGATTAGGTTCTTTAGATCTAATCGTGTTCGTGGTTTGGCTCGCCTTCGAACTATGACCCCACCAAAGTCACCCGATATGCCGCCGCAGTTTGCAAAAGAAAGGACCATCAGGAATAAATATTATGCAAAAATGACAATGTGTAGATAGTTTCATTTTCATGCAAATCTCATCTTCATATGAAGGGTTTGGACTGGACTCGTTTGGAAACAGACTGTAACTCGGAAATGGCCCATTGACAAGGTAACCTTTCCGTCGCCGCCCCTAACAACAAAATAGCGTCTCACTTTTATTTAAAGATTCACGAACAGTTTTTTTTTTTTATAAGCGAAATGAAGTTGCTCTCAACAAAAAACCGTTAGAAAGTAAACGACAAACTTTAGAACACATTAAGGACGGTGCCTACTTTTGTTAGTGCGCACACGTTCTCCGCAAGCATGGTTTAAGCGCCACGCGCACGCTGGGGTTGACATTGACACAATCAACTACGCTACCAAGTACACGATTAAAATGAAAGCAAAATTTTCCTACTGTGACCCTATCAAGTTTAATGAACATGTACTTAAACCAGGAACACCAGAATAGAAGCATAACGCTAACGACTAACTGTTAACGTCTTCCAGCTTAAAACCTGGCTGTTATCTGTCGAAAATTGCACTATAATCCAACCGTAAACATGTACCAGCAGATGATCTGGTGTGCGCGCAAAACAAGTGCGAGAGAGGCAAGTGCCTTACTTACTAGGGAGGTGACAGGAATAAATGTAACGGTCACCGTAAAAGTTTTCAAAAAGATCAATAACTTTGAAAAACGTGTGGTTACCCCTACATTTTATGTTATAAAATGGAAGTGGCAAGCCCCTTCAACACGTGATTAGTTTCTGGTTGTGAGCAAAAGATATTTAGACTGTATTTTAGCTGAACCAGCGGAAGACTGTCACAGACGCTAAAAGCGCTGTTGCAACGATTTTGTTTTTAAAAACATACCAAAAAAGGCTTTTATGTTACCATTTGCCATGTGGTTTAAAGATCTTTTTAAATGTGTTTATCTTCCGTATGTAAAGGATAATTCTAAGGAAATCTGTGAAAAAATTTCTTTTCTTTCTTTTTTCAGAAAAATGTTGATGTCAGCATTTTTGTTGAGATTCAAGGTTAATTATCTCGAAAAAATGCGTGGCTACCCCCATTTTTCTTTGTGGATACCAATAGCCCTCGTAAAGATCTACTTTTTCCGCGTGGTCCTAACCTGGTGCAAAAACCTTTGTATTTAGTAGGCGCCGTCCTTAAGTTGGGAATTAATTATTTGTTCACTGTGTATTGTTTGTTACTTTAGCCCTCTTCAAGTGGAAACCCAATTTTAGGAAAGTTTGCAAATTTGCTTCCTAACATCATTGAAGTTGGTAGGTAAATTTTCTATGTGCATGTAACAAGCCATTCATAAAGTTAAATTTATTTACACGTTTACAGGTTTATGGGCTGACAGGATGTGAAAGTTACAGCGAATTAAAATTTCTGAATAACTTGACTCCACGCGGCGTCTGGATGAGGCCGACGGGAAGCGGGCAATTAACAAAATTTAACTGACAACTGTCAAATGGCTAATATTTTACTATACAAAGCAGGGGCCTCCGGATCGAACGGTCAGGCTTCGAGTCCTGTCTGGGGACATGATGTTATGTTCTTGGGCAAGACACTTTACACTCTCAGTGCCTCTCTCCACCCAGGTGTATAAATTTGTACCGCCGAACTTAATGCTTGGGGAAACCCCTGCGGTGGACTAGTATCCCATCCAGGAATGAGTAGAAGTTTTCCTAGTCGCTTGATGCTACATGTACAGAGACCGAGATAAGCTCCGGCCTGATTGGCCACTTGGCTCGTATGGAGACCCTACCTATCTATCTTTTGTATATAAAAAAAGCTAAAATTTTATTTTAGTTTATTTTCATGTTTAATTTGTTGTGTGTGTTAGCTTAAAAGCTAACCAACGTTCTTATTTCTGATGTTCAAATTACCTCTGACTATAGGCTGGTATAGCTAGTTGGAAAACTTTGATTTTACATCGAGGAAGCTAGCATTCACACTCTACTGATCGTTTACCCAATTCTCGTCAACTGCTTACTTCATTATGCACTGAATGTATGAGGAGAAACTAACTTATGGTCACAACTTGGCGTTAAACAGAAGATTGTTTACACAGGGCCGAGCAAGGAAGTAGATAAGTCTGACGGTATTCGTTTGATGGGGCTTCTACCCAACAACAACAACAATAGAAGCAATGGAGGCAATGGAGGTAAATAAATGGAGGCAATGGACTCAACGGAAACGGCGGCAATAATGGCAACGGTGACGACAAGAAGGAAGTGATACTAACAGACTACTTCCACTACAAGGGATCCCTTACCACCCCTCCCTGTTATGAAACAGTAAAGTGGCTGGTTCTAAAACCCAAGCTTCGAGCCTCTAACAATCAGGTGAGTACATGTTAATTAAGCTACTAGTTTCAATTTTGCTAATTTTGTTGCAGACCTCAGAAATTACTGAGCAGTATTTGATAAGCCCTTGAATAAACGAGAACAATAGCAAGAGAATAATAGACGGTTTTCGTATTCTCGGCATTGGACTGGCCGGAACTAGCTTGCAACTGAGGCTAATGTGGGGAGTCTTTCAAATGCAAATGACATTAATCTCTTTTAAATGGTATTCACCCACATTAGGTTCCGTTGCAAGATAAAGTTCCAGTCTGATACCGAGAACACGAAAATGGTCTATAACGTGCACGTTAATTCATAGCCGCACTGTAGTAGTACAGCGAATTGTGACTGACGTCCTTGATTCACGTGAAATACGTCTTAGAGTGGTCTAGCTTATCTAAGAACAGATCGTAATGCTCAAAAGAGTTGAAAACAGGTTGTATTCCGTTCTTTTGTTTATTTGCATGCAAATTGTGTTTGTGTTTGTTTGTTTGTTTGTTTGTTTGTTTGTTTGTTTTGTCTTTGAAGTTGGGAGAGTTTAGAAAGCTGAAAGCACACTATGGTCGTTTTCCTGATCTTATGTGCGACAATTACAGACCTCTACAGCTGCTAAAGGGACGTAAAGTTTACGCCGTTGGAAACAAAAATTAGAGAAAACAGGACCTCATTGATCTAATAACTAACTCTACTACGCACTGTTCTTAATAGCCGGATAAAATTGTGTCTGCGCTTCTTTTAAATTTATTCATTCGCATTAAATTTACCTAGAAGTTGCTTTACCTTGGTCATTCTGAAAAAAAAAACAGAAGACCTAATGAAAGTATACTTGAAAATAGCTTGGCTTCACTTATTGATAAACCATGACAAGGCCACCTGTGCGTGCTCACTGTTAGATTACAAAGTATTGTACAACAGTAAGAGTTTTTGATGATAGATGCGAATGCAGCCATAACACTACCAGAAAAAAGACCTGAAAAAAAATTCAGGCTTTGAACGGGATTCGAACCCACGACCTTTGCGATACCGGTGTAATGCTCTCCCAACTGAGCTATCAAAGCCACATGAGAGCGGTAGTGTGTGAGTTGGTCATTTAAGTTCAGTGGACGTAATACTCGGCTCAAGTTTGTAAATTTCACACATATATATATATATATATATAACCTTTATTTACCCTCGGCAGTGTTTTAGCACAAGTGCTAGTGGGGCCGAGCAAACAACTGAAACAAATAATTCAAATTGAACATAACATTGTTAAGAATCCCAACTGGCCGGAGGCAAACCAGTTCGCTATTTACAAGCATGGCTGAGGATTTGAACTTGGGGTTACCGAGAAACAAATCCAGGTAGTGGTCAGAGCGGGACTCGAACCCGGGACCGCTGGATTACGAGTCCGACACGCTGACCACTCGGCTACGCTGCCTCCTTCATAGTAATAGAATAGAATAGAATAGTAAGAGTTTTTATTATATTTCATTTTTGAACTTATTTTCAGAGACAATATCGTATATAGATGCGATTGCTTTACTCTTCTTAAGTTGAGCTCTATTGCCCTGGAATGTATGTTAGTTAGGGTATTGCTTGAAGATCTGGGGGGAGGATACCGCTTTTTGCATAGAGGTGTCGCTTAGGGAAAAAATTTAAAGACCTGCGATAAGTAGGACCCTGAGTGCATCTAGGACAAACGATGGGATAACGTGGAATTAAAGAATACTGACAAAGTTTTGATTGCCTTAAGTTTAACTCCACCAAGACCCTCAATAATTTACGGTTCCAAACATTTCGAAGTGCCTTAAGGTGGCCGAACACAGTTTTCGCGCGCGCTTTTGCTGATGCAATTCAGCGTGCGCACAAGGATTGGAAAAAACAAACATGCCGTCAATAGATCGATCATTTTATTTTCTCAACACCCGCAGTATCTATGCTATTTTTCTTTATAATTGAACGCAGTGTATTGATGACTTTAGTCTTTATCACAAAGATATGTTAAACAAGGTAACGATGCAAAGAACCCAGCGATTCTTAGCTTTTTCTTTGTTACCGAAAGAACCCAGTTAAATGTAGTGCATGCGTAGTAAGTCAAAAAATTGCGATTCAATGAAAATTTGCACTCTCGGAAATACGCCAATTTCTCGAGAACCAATCATTAGAATTTCACGAAATTTAGCACGAAAATACTTTAGGAAATAAGTAACTGGAGTATTGAAAATAATTGAACTTTAACAAAGGAATTTCTAGATATTCCAGTGAACCTTCAACAAGGGATAATTAAAGATCTCTCTGTTAAATTCTTAGCAAAATGGTGTTAACTTGTGAGAATCGTTACAAGCTTGTTGCATGCAAATTATAAAGAAAATCTAATGACTAGATTTTCTACAAATAAACATAACCAATTTTAAAGGCCTGTTTATCTTTATTCATGTTGCCATGGCAACGGCACATACGTCAGCTTAACCATCAAAAAGACCAAAGTTTGTGTTGTTAACTTCCTTGTTGCCATTTTTGGCGACTGTGAGATCAAGGGTTTTAGAGAAAAAGGTGAATGAAACACAGGTATCAAAAACTGTGTTCAGCCACCTTAAACATATTTCCCTGCGAGTCCTTTTTTCAACTATTTTCTAAGTTTCGAAATTTTGGTAAAGTACGATATCTCTTGTTTTACATATTACATATGGTCATATGACATTGTTGTAAGTGTCGCACGTATTGATGTATGTTCTTTGAACTTAATAAATTTACATACTTATCACAACCCAGTGTATTTTGAAGAGTGATTTTGTGATAAAACGTGGTAAACAGGCCTGGCCCAGGTTGCTCGAAAGGCGGATAACGCTATCTACGGGTTAATCCCTATCCAGCGGATAGTGCGGTTTGTTTTATTAACAGTTATCCACTGGATTGTGATTTATCAGGTGGATAGCGTTATCCAATCTTCGAACAGTCCGGGCCTGCTCGAGTCTTCTACGAGTAAGGTGTAGCCCCGGGGCGCTCTGTGAGTTTTAGGTGGGGATATGTCTCTTGAACTTTAGCGATTTCGTTTCCTCATGATAAGGAGCAACACTTCCCGATGTAGCCTGGAAAACCTAGTTCAATAACGTCTATCATAAGTAGACGAAAATTAAGAACGTTAATCTCCATTAAGGTCTTACTCGCAATTAAGGCCTCTGAAGTTATTTTTAGGCATGGTACCCAAGTCTTTCGCGAATGGTATTACCACGCACGTTACATGGATGTCTCCTTGGAGGGTAAAAACACGTGTAAAGCCGCTTGGACTGTCCACGTGAGCAAACTCCGCGCCATAGGAATGGCTATTTGTAAAGCTCGTGGGATTCCCACAACCGGGTTTGACCTAAAAATAGCTTCAGAAGATTACCTTGGGAATAGGGCTCACTTGGGAAATTAGAAGCCACTGCCTCTTAATTTAGAGAATCCGACGACATAACCGGAAATTCGAGTTTTCTTTTATTTCGTCAAAGAGACACTTTTAGTGCACTATTTCCAGAAATATGCTTTAAGGTTATTCCTCAGAATTGCATTGCGCATCCCTACTGCGTACGATTTTCGCGTCATT